ATATATTTTGCTAATCAAACTTATTCAAATATATATAAGGAGTACGTCAAATACCGCGTGAATAGGGGCGTGAATGCGAGATGCTTTGTACACGAGTTTCCTTTATTATTAATAATTGAAATAGATGTTAGGATAAAACTGATAAAACAATAATCTTAGTCTCCTACTTATTGTGACAGGAATTAAGAAAAGATAAAGGTTCCAAATTAAAACGGAAAGGATAAATAAGAACTCACTCAAGGGAAACTAATTTGCAAGGACCAAAATAAATAAAAGAAAAAAGAAAAAGAAAGTGTACATGATCTGGGAACAGACAGTAGATTCAAGTGATTGGAGTGAAGAAAACAAAAAATCCCTAACTAAACATACGCCACTCTGTTCACTTTGCTCGACAATGGCGTTGGAGCTCCCAAATGATCTGATCCAGCAAGCCAAGATCTCGACCCGAACCGAAGCGGGTCTACCCGACTACAACCCAGATGACCCTTCACTTCCGGCCATGCCTTCTCTTTCCGCCTCCGTCGCCGCCTTTGACCCTTCACCACCCTATCTCCGTTGTAAACACTGCCAAGGCAAGCTTCTCAGAGGGCTTCAGTCCTTGATTTGCATATATTGCGGTCAGAAATTGCACCAAAACGCTAACGTGGCTCCTGACCCCATTTCCTTTAAGTCTACTGTTGGCTATCAATGGTTGCTCCAAGCCCTTCGCCTTGATGGATCGGTATGTTGGGTCTTTTGTACTTTTTTTCCGAAACACATGTTGTTTATTGCAATATGTTAGTGTGTCGGTTGCTTCCTGTTATGAAAGAATTGTAATGTAAGATTGTTTTTTTTTCTGTTGGCTTGAGAATATTTTTGAATCATTGTTAAGAAATATATATTTATACTAAGTTCCAAGCTATAGTCATAAAGAATTAGTGATTACTGTGGTACTTGGAATCCTTGATGAATGGAGTATTGAGTCTCTCTTCCTTTATCTCAAAATACCCCCAATTTGCTCACTGATTTATATGAGTGTGTTGGTTGCTTCCTGTTACGGAGGAATGGTAGTGCAAGATTAGATCTTTTTTATTATATTTTGTGGATTCGACTTGAGCTACATATCTGTACTTGGAAACTTTCTAAAGTTATATAGTATCTCTCTCTCTCTCTCTCTCTCTCTCTCTCTCTCTCTCTCTCTCTATATATATATATATAT